TTTAATATTTTATTAAATATTAAAGAGGCACATTATCTAATGCATAATGAATAATTTAACAATAACAGAAAATTAAAAAACAACAAATTAATCAAAATATATAACACTAAACTAATGATTAATATTATCAAGCATTGTGTATAATTTTTTTGAATATTTTTATTTGCAAATAATAGATTGGTCATAAAAACATTTTTATTTCATATAATTCATTATATACTCTATTGAACTAAATTGGCTGAAATAATGTTTATAAGGATAAGTTATTGTAATGAAGATCTAATATAATAACATTAAGTCAAAACTGCATGCCTTTTGATCGATATTAAATTTTTACAGAATAAGGATTAATTTAGTATAAATATAATGGTTCAGAAAATTCAATTTCTCATATATGGTGTCGTCTACAGCAGTAGCTAAATATATTCAATTTCTCTTATCTATCTTCCATTATATCTGGGTTGAAGTTTTTGGTGTATCAATTAGTGGTTGAGGACTCTAGACTTACCGATTTCTTTACTGTTCTCAGACTGATTTCAGTTATCAGAATCGTTTTAGATCTAAGACTCTATAATTTGACTTTTTGTATATTTTTTGCCATTTTACCTTTAATAAATATTATAAATTGCATTGACACCTGTCGTACCATCAAAAGTTTTGAGGAGGGCACATTGTGAGGTGTTGAAGTTTTGAAGAGGGGAGGAGATGGTTATGTATTATCGGAATGAAAAGTTTCAAACCAGAGAACAAGAAGAAAATGTGGAACAGATGGCAGAGAGTGTACTAGGAAATAACCTTCAATTGTTTTAATTCTACTTTCACTTGTACTGTTTTTAAGAAGAGGAGAGCAACAAAGTATTTTGGGAGGAAGGGGAAGGTTCCATATGCCATCGATCATATCTTAAACATTTAGTTTAACATGTTGAGTACTTGTGAACAATCTGGTCGGCAATAAACCTCCCTTCTTATTTTACTTATGTCACTTTCTTATCTTATCTAACGTCACATAACCAGCCTTTTTATCTCGTGTAAGCTGTGCATGTGAGTTATTGCATTGGTTAACTTTGTTCAATTGTTTATGGTTGAAATGGATGTTATTACATTGTGGGGATTGCCATCTTCAGAAGAAGAGGCTATCAAATATTTTCAAGACGCTGGGATAATTGCAAAGGTGAAATATTGTGAAGAAGATCATGAAATGAAGTTCGATGGGAAGACGAAATGGAGATGCTTTAGTAGGACTTGTAACAAAAACGTATCTATAAGGAAAGGAACGTGGTTAGAGGGATCGAAGATCACCTTTTCAATTGCTTTAAAATTAATTTGTGTGGTCTCATAATTTGACAACAATACAGTGAGGCAAAGAGCAGCTGAAACTATCGAACAGATGTATCATAATGTGGAACAAATTTTTAAGAGAAGTTTATGCCCATACAGGTCAACTAAAAAAAATTGGAGGGCCTGGGAAAGTCATTGAAGTGGACGAGAGTCTTTTTTCTAAAAGAAAAAAACATGTAGAGAGAATTCTCCCTGAACAATGGATGTTTGGCGGAATTTGTTGAGAAACAGACGAGTGTTTCATCATAAAAATAAAGGGCAGAAAGGCAAGAACTTCATTATATTAAAATTAATATAAAAGAGGGAAGCACCATTTATTCTGACTGCTGAAAGGTGAATCACCATTATAACTTTGTTGATCCATCAACGGGTGTCCATACTCAACACATAGAATGTTTATGGGGCTCAGCTAAGTGGAGAAATAAGAAACATCGAATAATTGTGAGGCAATACCTCGATTCATATTTATGTGAATTTTTGTGGCGGCGGGCTCAGAGAAGAAGACTCGTTTTCTCACTATTTTAAATACTATTAAGCTATTTTGTCTGCCAAAATAAACATATATGCATTGTATGCGTAAAATGAAAGTGTTTTATATGTATATATGTAGTAAAATCAAAGTGTTTTGTTATTTATATTTCTTTTTATTTATATTTCCTATTATTAAATTATTATTATATTTGTTTTTGTCTATTTCAATTTCAAATCAAAGTGTTTTTTTATTCTTTCTTTTTATCTATTTCAACTTTGATAAATATGACATTTGTTTTTGTCTATTTCATATATATGTTGTAAAATAAAAGTGTTACATTTGTTTTTGTGTTTTCGAATTTCATAGGAATGAAGGGATTATCAGTGCCTTATCAGAATTATCAGTGTTCAGGTTATAAACATTGGCAGATAGCAGTCCATTCCGACCGAACTGTTCACAAGTACCACATGTTCGTGGGCGGGGTGGCCGAATGGGCTAACGCGTGTGCACTGCACCGCTGTTGCCCGGCAACCTGATACATGAGATTTGATTCAAAAAATAGTCACGAGTTCGCATCCCGGTGCCCGGAGGAGTTTTTAAATCCTCGCCCACACTCCCTGGCCCGGGAAAACCCCCGTATAGCCTTAAAGGCGAGGACAGAAAAAAAAAAAAAAAAAAAAAAAAAAAAAAGTACCACATGTTGATTGCCCCAACTATAAGATAACTGGTAGTCTATGTTATTAGCAAGGACCCCACTTACAAGTTATCTTATGCGAACACACATGAATCAACTTCCAGTTGGCTTCTGCAAAAAGCTTCACAACATGAACCAACTACATCATAATTTTCAATCACTAATCCAAGATGGCATGGCTTCAAGATCATTTTGAGCGCACTATAAATGGAATGCTGAGCAACTTCGAAGTTAGTCAAATATTGACAATTATGTTCAAATATAAATGACATGAGTTTTGCCTAAAATAAACTAAAAGAAATTTACTGAGTAAAAACTGAAAAAAATGTTTTTCTCAGTTTATTCTTTGTGATAGCAGAAAACACACTCGATTACAGATAATAAACCAAACTTTTATATCCATTATTTATTATATGACATGAGATATGGAGAAATCCATTTAAAATATCAATTTAATTTTTATAGCAGCAATGTATGTTTCAATTTAATAACTATTATCTAATTCTTAATGTCCTAATTACAGATTGTGTTTACTAATTCAAAAGAATACAGATGTTAAATATCGATGGTTTAAAACAAAAATTGTGTTTATTTCAAAGGAATAAATGTAACTGCCCAAAAACAGTTGACAAACATTTAGATATATATAACAAAAGAAATGAGTGTGATAATGACTTCAATTCACTTAACATGAACAATCTGCGACGAAGAGAGATCAATAGTCTGCTTTTGAATACATTATTTCGGATTCCACCAAAAGTGTGCTCAAAGTTATGTTGAAACCAGCGAAAATCTTGGAGTAATGATTAGAAAATAATAGTCAAGATTTAAAAATAAAAAATAAAAAAAAAATTATAGAATCACTTGCTATGCTTTTAAATGGTTGTGTACAATAGTTACTGTTTATTATTAATAATATAATATAATTAGGATTAATAATATAATTTGATTATATTAAACTGTACCACTGCATTTTATACCATAATCTTAAAAAATGGATTGGCAGTTAAGAAGTAAACAACAGCTGTTTACAATACTTAAATGTACCTGAATGGCATTTCTAAATGAGAAATATAATTTTAAAAAACAATATTTTCATGTTTTAGGTAACATAGTTCAAGAATAATTTAGAAAACACGAATATAAAGAAACAAAAAATTGGAACTGAAATTGAAATTAATAATATATTCCTTATTTCTATTATTTGAATCTTAGAAAAAGTTTTTTTTTATTTCATAAGTTACAAATAACATAAAAATTTGCTAAAACGGCCCTAAACATTATTCTTTATTTTTATACACAATATATAAAATATTTACAAATAAGTTAAGAAAAAATGAATAATAATGAATATATAACAAGAATAGAGTTAAAATAATAAATAGTAATGGAAAATTATATTAATTTTACCTTGAAAGAAGAAACATACAATAAGCTAATGTGTACTATTCTTTATAAGTATAAAACCTAAGCAGTACTAAACAAACCACAAAATGAAAAAAAAAATTCACACAGTATGAATTTAGTTTAAAATTTAATAACATTATCAACAGATGTTTATTGAATTATAGTTATGTTTTTAAGTAATTTAACATTTCTTTTCTTTTCGAAATAAAGAAATAATAAATAAGACACACTTCATAATTATAATTTAAAACAGTTTTAAAAATTAGATATATAAGAAATGTAGAGAAACAACTTTAAATAAATTACAGGGACTAACATTAATTTTCAAAGCAGGAATGTTGAAAAAAATAGCAATATATTGAAATATTGATATTTTACACATCAATACATCATTATTTTTTACCAATATTTTTATATCAATATATCTTGATTATTTTTCAAAAAAAATAAATTAAATATTTTAACATATATATATTGATATTATTGTTCAATATTTAAATCCTTATTATTTTCAAAGATTAAAAATGATATAAAACATTTTTTGATGTATCGAATTACTATATCCATATCTCCTACTGTATAACAAACCACGTACCTTTGAGCATATTATTAAAACTATAAAGGATTCTTGCCAGTTAAACATAAAGTTTATGTGGAATTTTAACATAATTGGTTTGATGTTTTTTTTTTAGGGTTGAAAAAATTATTAACTTAAGAGTTTGTGGCAAAAAGATGTCTTATTATTTGAACCCACCATATTACATGGTAAAATAATTATTTTAGAAACAGACATTGATGATTTTTGCAAAACAGTGAAAAAACTGAGCAATAGATAAAGATGGAACTAATCAATTCAACCTCTGAACTAAATAATACATTTCTTTCTTTAGAACCCACCTACAAGTGTAACAATAATTATGTATAACAAATAAAATAAACATTGATAATGTTAAAAAAAGTAGAGAATTAATAAAAACAAAATCACAAATATAAAATGACAAAGGAATGGTAAAAATTGGGCTTCTTCTTGGCTGAAATTAAATGTTTATTGTACATTATAGGTTTAAGTAATGACAACATTCTACTTACTTTTTTCTAATATAGATCCATGTATGAGAGTCGAGCCAAACGAGGACGGCAAAAAAGAATCCAGCCCCTATGCTTGCAGCCAGCATAAATGTCAGTCCAAACCTAAACAAGTTTCCTAATAAATCTCTTTTCCAAAAAGCATTAATACAACAAAAAACTTTCTAAATCACACTATTAAATTAGAATTATCTGATAAGAACTAGAATATAGTAGAAATAAAACTTATTAGCAATAAAAGATAATATTAATGAATCATAATAGGTGTAACTAACAATGCCATTTCACAGACAGCATGAAGTGCTCCCATGTATTCTCTATGTATAGGTCCACAGTCGAGCATTGCCACTAGACTTGAAATCATACTAGAAGCAAGTTTCACTTCTTTCGATAGCATATCCAATTTAGGATGTAATTGACCAGGTTTGTATAGTTGTCTAGCTATCCGAGTCATGAGCCCTGAAACAAAATTTTTATGTGCAAAGAATTTTCACAGTAATTCATTAATACATAAATTCATAAAATGTACAAGCTATAAAATAGAACTCTAACAATAAGTACTGAAATTTTAAAGTTAATTAAAAGAATTTTTTCCCTTAAATGTCATATTTCAAGTAATCTGATGTATCAACTTTTAATTTCTGTCTGATAAGCTCAAATTGAGAACTTTCTAGTAATATATTATTTTTTATTTGGGGTTTTTTATTACACTGATATTCCCTTATTATAGATGCTTTGAGACCCCTGAGAAGGTATCCAGAGTGTAAATTGACATTCTTGTGCTTTTGAACAATTTGTTACACTCAAGTTTTATTTACAATAGTATGAAGTGTTTTATTTTCTGGTGTTTTCTCAATTTTCTTGTTTGTTTTTCTCTTTGATTGATTGGTATATTCAGTCCTGTGACATCTTTGATAGCATGTCTTTCTAGTCAAATCATCTGCATTTTCATTGTTCAATATACTGCTGTAGAATGAAACCCAGGATAATAACTACATTCATTGTTTTATTTTGTATATCATATCACAAATTCAGTATTTTCCTAATCAGAGCTACTTGGGGATAACCAATAGCTACCGAGATACTCCTGGAGTCTATTACAATGACCCAATTATTCTTTTTGGACCATGTTATTCAATAAAGAGCATTCATGATTAATTTTCACTCCTCTTATGGAAATGGAGCAAGCTCCTGGTAAGCTAAATATAAGTTGATTTGGGCTAATGTACGCAGCACAGCCTACACTATTACAACTACACTACAGGCGTATAAAAAATTAAGAACATTAAAAAAAAAAAAAAAAGCAGATATGAGAATAATTAATATTAAGCAACACTAGCACTTATGTGATACTTCAGCAAGCTCTGTTTGATTTGTGTCCAAAAACTGACAATAGATCAGATTGGCAGTTAACATAGTGAAATATGCACCAGACACACCTAATACTCCATTAAGACACTCATGCTTGCCATGATTTGGGAAATTTTTATGCGTGCCATAAGTTGAATTAACAGTAACATATTTGTCCATGCAATGTAGAATTTTCAATTAAATGGCTTACCCATCGAAGATGATACAATTTCTACTGCTTTAGTTGCCTTCCTAACAGACGGTATAAAAGGAGTGTTACGATCAGTCTCACAAGAGGTATAATACCTCACTATCGACGGATGTAACAGAGCTGGAGCTTCACGCTCCATCACAGCCTGAGGGCTCATACAAAGGTCTCCGAGAGCCTGCAAAGTAAAAATGTATTTATATTGAAGTAAATAAAAATGTTAAATCAGTATAAAATTTAGCAGTACAAAACTCAATGATATGATAAGATTATCTAAAAGTAAATTTATTAAAAATAGAGTGTCAAGAAAAATAGAATTGTGAAATTGCAATGAAACCTATGTAAACTGTCTCCATTTTACATTAATTAAGCCTTTATAATAAATACCCTGCTGTTTATTATAGATTAATTCATTATAAAAAATTTATTTTACACAAATACTACATAGGTAATTTTTTTTTAAGTTTCCAGTAAGAAAAGAGTGTAACCTTTTAAAATAGAACTGTTTCTGTCACCTAATCATAAAGGAATACTAATAAAAATTGTTAATTTGCATTGGTCACTGTGAATTTTTGTGTTAACTTTATCCATTTATTTTATGAATACTTCATTAGGAATAAAAAAATTTTATGATCGCAATACTTTTCCTTCCTTATATTTTTCATATATAGGTAAGTGAAAGTAAAAATAGAATAAAATAATCAACAGAAAAGCTAAGTACAGTAATTTTTTCTCATACATATTTATTGTCAATTTTTTATCCATATGGTCATAAAACAAAAGTTTTTAACTTCTATTTTACATCATTACTGCAGTTGATACACAATTAATTAAAGCATTCCAGATAAAAATATTTTGAAATTTCATCTCATTATTATTTTATAAAAGTATTATTTATAAAACAGAATACTTTTTAAACTTACCACTGATGCAGTTAAATAAATAGATGCCATTAACCAAGAGAATATTACAGCAAACAATCCAAAAACTGAAAACCTAAATAAGAACATACAATATTTAAACAGTTAAATAAGAATACACATGTTAACTAATTCTATATAAACTAATAAATAATTTAATTTAAAAACAAACACATCGATGATAGGCAATGAAAATCTCATGACTCCATTGTGGTAAATTTTTAAAGAGAAACACCACAGTGTTCATTAAGAAAATAGGGAAAGAACTCATGAAAGACTGACAAGTAATTCTATATTTGCTCTCATCATCAACAGTATCATTCATTTGTGGATTTCATGATTTTGGATACTGTTTCCCATAATGTGGACAAAGCAACAGATGAAGACATGATGGATTTTGTAAAATCCTGATTACAAAACAGAGGTTGAATACTTGAGAGGTATTGGGTTGGCAAATAAGTCATTTCGGTTTTTCTATTTATTTCTACGTCACTATGATACACTTCTTATCTGATGAATTAATCCCTAAGGTATATTGTTTATCCTGTTTGTAATATGTCGACAACTACATCTATAAGAACTATATAGGTTAACTCTTGTTGTAACTATTGTGTTTGCTATTGCACTATGAAAATGCAAGAAAATATCATTCATTATTGACATATTTTGTTGTACTATTTTAAAAAAAGTAAGCGTGCTGCAAAAACTCATAGAAAAATTTACAGTGTTTATGGGGGTGATGCCTTAACAGAATGCACCTATCGAAATTGGTTAGCCAAATTTCATTCAGAAAATTTTGATATCAATGATGCTCAACGGTCCGGTCGCCCACAATGAAACGAGTAACGTTAAGGTCATTGTTGATCAAAATCCCACCCAATCAGTGCGAAAGATGGCTATGTCCCTAAATGAGTCTCACACAAGCGTAGAAAACCATTTGCACAAGCTCGACTATGTTTCTAGGCTTAATTATTGGGTCCCTCACTCTCTCACCGAATGTCAAAACCCAGATTGCATCTAAGAAGATAATGCTTTCCATATAGTGGGATTTCAAGGATATTATTTTCTGTGAGCTATTGCCATTAGAACAAACAATTGATTCAATTCTATACTGTTCACAATTAACAAAATTGGATCAATCAATTACAAATAATCGCCCAGAACTGGCAAATCGAAAGGGTGTTGTGTTTTGACAAGACAATGTTAGGCCCCACACCTCATTGATCACTCATAATAAATTATTGAGCCTTGGATGGGACCTTTTGCCCCACCCTCCATATTCACCAGAACTAGCTCCAAGTGATTACCACTTATTCCAGTATCTGCAGAATCCATGAATAGAAAGAAATTCCAAAAGGAAGAGGACATCAATCAAAAACCACTTGGATCAGTTTTTTAACAATAAACTCCAGCCATTCTATGAATATGGCATTATGCAGTGAAAAGATGGGAAAAAAGTTAAATAATAGCCAATATATTGGAGATTAAAATAAATGTTATGTCTATAATACATTGAGTTTTATTTCACCCTGAAAAACTGAAAGAACTTATTTGCCAACACAATACATTGAATAAAATAAAATAATATCATCGGTTTATTGCATAAAGTCATTAAATGATATTTGTTAACCTCAAATAATTATAATTTATAATAATAATATAATAATAATAATAATAAATTATATATTTATAAATTATATAATTAATAATTGATAATTATAATTATCAAGAACACAAAGAATCAGAAATGAGACTTTTTTCTAAACATTTTTAACTTATAGTTCAGTTATATTTATCGTCTGTTTTAAAAAACAAAACAAAAAAACAATGCATAACTCATGATTGAATTGAGATTTTGATATTCTGGTATATGCATCCATCATTATAGAATATAATTTCTGGGTCATCATTGACATTAGATGCAGAAGCATTCATACCTCATAGACACCTAATCATATAAAAAAAGTTAAAATAAGAAAGAATGTGACTTCTTGATATATACACAAAGATATCAACTGGAGAAAGGAAGTTTTCAGCACAAACAAAATAGAACAGGAGACCAAAGGTTTTCATTTTTTTTCTCCTAAGTGATGAATGTGGGAAATAATTTTATTTCCTGGACCATGTTTGTAAGTTTTTTCCACAACTGGTGATCATAAATAAAACATTTCTCTTTTAGTAACATAAATCTGGACGATATTTATCCATCAGAAAGAAAATGTAGAAAATACAAATAGATTTCTCTAAATTGCATTGTAACTACTCATTTAAGCCATTATTTAAGAGATTTAGAATAAATTTCCTCCTATATCATCAGGTGATAAATTTGGAACTTTCCAGATCCTAAACATGGTCTGTGGAGCTTTTCCAAGAAATTTGACTTTGAGCGATTTACTAATAAGACCTCAATACTACTTTAGGTCCAAATATTAAAAAATACACATTAATATCAAGAAAAGAATTTTGGATTCAACAAAGCCATAGGTAATCTCAATAATATAGAAACTTTTATGTTACATATTTAATCCTCATACCATTGACAATGTAGATTATCAGTAATCCAATTACATATAGATACAGTATAACAGAATCATTTGCTAAAGAATAAATATTAAAATAACTTACGTTATTAGGGCACAACGTAAATGCCTTGCAACACCAAACAAAAGAATTAAACAAAATACAAGAAGTATGCTAAGAATGGTCATGGTAACTGGCCATCTGAAACAAACAAACAAAAATAATTAGTATAAATTTTATTATTAAAATTGTTCATTATATTTAAAAAGAAAATTCATCAATTGTTTAATTATTTCTCTAAACTAATGTTTGTTTCACAAGTTATTTTAAAGGAGTAATAAAAACTCAACAGGAAAACAGTTCAGAACTGTTTATAAGATATATAAAAGAAGTCTAAATAATAATAACATTTGGGGATAGGATGGGAAAATAAGCTAAGGAGTTTGCAATAAACCAACAAACTTGAGCAATAAAAAGATGACTTCTCAAAGGAATGGTGCACTGAGTAGGATTCCTCACACACTTATTCACTTTGGGAACAGGTGGCTTATGCTGTCAAATCAACACAAATAGAGCGAAGTACAAGGTACCAACTTATAAGTCTTTATTCAAAAAAAAAAAAAAATGATAAGTGATTCAGCTATTAACCTTTACAAAATATAGGCATCAGTTAAATCCATGTCTATGGGAAGAGCTTATAACCCGCCCTGATTAATTAATTGGAGGAGCTCTAGATGAAACTTAGTTTGGATTCATATAACTCATCCTAAATTTATTAAACTAAAGCAGTCAAGCACATGTAGAAAACTGTGTTCCCCCAAGTTCCTGAATAATATTTGTTACGTTACAATCTTTTTTGGATTCAGGGCAAATAAATTAAAAAATTGTAGGAGTTAATTTGGCTATTTAGTAATTTGAAAAAAACAGAGGCATGATAACTGCATAAACTGAAATTACGATAGGTATCTAATCCTTCATAAACTGAAATTACGATAGGTATCTAATCTGTGTGGGCGGGGTGGCCGAATGGGCTAACAAGTGTACACAACACCGCTGTTGCCGCCGGCAACCTGACATATGAGACAACGATGAAAAATATTTCCGAGTTCGCGTCGCGTGGCAGGAGTCTTTTAAATCCCTACCGACACTCCCTGGCCCGGGAGAACCCCGTATAGCCTTAAAGGCGAGGACAAAAAAAATAAAAAATGGTATTTAATCCTTAATAAATTGGATAAATTAATAAAAATTGTTATATTTGATTATAAAATAATTTTATGGTTTAAGAAGGAAAAAACACAAAGACTCTGTTAACATCCTAATATTTCATATGAATAAAACACACGAAAATGGAATCAAAATAGTGAGCCAACGGCAAGGTTTTGGTTTTGAATGGAAAGGTTTTGAAATTATTGTTATAAAAATAAATAAGAAATAAATAAAACATTAATAATTAGACATCTAACAAATTAATGCAAAATATATATAAATAATGAATATCAATATCTGTTCCTTTATACCTTATAGCTTCTGCTTGATGGAGTTGTTTCAACGCAGGAGCCAATGAAACAATTTCTAAAGGTTTAGCGATTTCCTTTAATGATTCGAGCGCTGCTGTAGTATTAGTGGTCATAGTGTTCAAAACACTAAGAAGAACAGCGCGTGCTGTTTGATTAGTGACAGGTTCATCGAATACATCGCCTAGTTCCGTTAACAGTTGTTCAACTTTCAGCTTTAGGGTTGAGTCAATTGTGGAAGTCTGAAAAAGAAAGGCAATAAAAACCATATTCGTAAGATAGGCATCATTTTCACCCTCTCCACCATCTTCCCAATTTCAGGACAGATCGTGATTTCTTCTTTATGTTCCATATTTCGCAGCATTAAATATTAAATACTCAATAGTGTACCATAGTGTATTGAAGAAAGAGGTGGTCCAGGGTGGTGCCCTAAGTTAGAGCATAACATAAGTTATAGTTTCCATTATTTTAAGTTTTTTTCATGACCACTTCTCTGACCCAGATTATCCCTTTCTATAATATAAAATGTATTTCAACTGATTTTATGATCTTATATTTTGTAACAACAAAATACTTGAATGCTTTTTCTGGCATGTTCATAAAAACTTTCCTCTAAAAATTTAAAACAATTTAAATGTCATCAAATCACCAATAAATGAGTTTTCAGTTCCGAGTATGGGATCTATTATTGAATTAATAAAATTAAATGAATAATGAAATGAGCCATACTTGATTTTTTACACTGCTTATCAGATCTTCAATAGCGCGGCCCGCAGTAAGCAGCTCCATCATCCCATTATGGACATCATCGTTCCCATAAAGACCAACTCCAACGGTCCCACTGTAAACAAATAATATTATTTTGTATTTGTGAAATAAAATTAAATTGATAATTGAGGAAAGTGGTAATACATCCATTATTATATTAGTTCCTTAATCTAAACAATGGATTTTAAAGAGTTTAATGATAAAATTATAAAAGTATACTAATACAATACTTTCATATATCTTGATTTACTATTTTTTTGTTTTAGACACATAGATATTAACAGCCTCATTAAGCATATGTTCTAATGGACCTGGAAAGAATCTTCATGTTCCCCACTTCATTGACTAGGTCCCAGTTTCTACAGTTAAAACAATATAAATTTATACATGCTCAATAAACATATCAACATAAGAATATAGAGAGTATTTTTAAAATAAATAAGAAACAAGATTTTTTAAAAAAGAAAAAAAAGTATAATATTTTTATCACTAATAAATAAATTGATAAATCTTCTTTCACAACGAAATTAAGAGAGCCAATTAACTCAAAAAACAAAAATATTTTGCGAGAATTTGGTAAGGTTATTATGTATAACATTTTGGTAAGGTTATTATGTATAATAGGTAAGGTTATTTATGATTTTCAGGTATTATAACTTTTAAAGGCTTCCTTTCTTATATCAGTACCATGTAACAGAAAGGAAGAAAAAAAAGCAACTCTAAAAGCAGGCTTCGCAAAATGTATTTGTGTTGTAACAAAGTTGTAACTCGAACCTGGGTCCTGGAGAATAGTATGCCTAAATGTACATAAATTATAACTTGAGAATTGTTTATATAAATAAAATATACTAAAAAAAGGCTTACCAGCATAGTGTTGTGAAGAACGTGAGTGTCCATTTAAGAATGACGATGCTGTGCTTTGGACGAGGCTTCCTGTCACAGCATCTTGTACAAAGGTAGATGAGGAGAAGGAACAAAGTGATAATCAACCATAAGGCTGGTATCGAACCAAGTATCCCCAAGGACTAAAATAGTATTTAAAAAAAAGTAGATTAGTAATTATTTACTGTTATTCATACATACCATTATGTACTTATCTTAGGATATAATTAGATCTCATTTTTTGGCTTATTAAATTTTTAAAAAAAATGTTTCATTAGAAGAAAGGGTAGCAACTATATTGACTTCATAAGGATTAATATTAGTAATAATTTAACTTATTTTTACTGAAAATTATTAATTTGTAACACCTATTTTAGAATTTTTCAAATAACTTCTAATATAGAATATTTTGTAAAAATTCTTAGTATCTTTTAAATTCAAGTTTTTAATGTAATGTTGGTATACAATTTTACTAGAAATTTGTTTTACTAATTCAAGTAAAATGTTTATTTTTAAAGTATGTAATGTTAAGTTAATTTATATTGTTAACTTAGAAAAGTTAGTGAGAACGTAAAGTCAGAAAAAAAATCTGGTGCAAAAAACACACAACTTTCACTTACCGCTCAACTTTTTAATAGAAATTATTTTCTGGCTATGTTACTATAAAATTATGTTATTATTATTATAAAAAATTTTAATTGCATCTTTAAAAGAGCTAAAGCTAAAAAATTACAGATTACAAATCATAAATACCATTAAAATAACAAAGTCCTATTTATTATATCACCAGTTGATGATGGATTGTAAGATCTGTGATTAAGGATTGTAAGACTATTGGTTATCAAACTGTTATTTTCCAATGCAAAGTTTACTAAACCAGAATTTAGAGATTTGCATTGTCTGTTATAGACAGGTCAAAAGTTGTCACACTAATTGTAAGTGGATACTGTTGGAATATCACAAAAGGAAATTTCATCAAACTATTCACTAATTTAATTTTCTAAAAGGTTACAGGATGATTTTTCGGAATAAATGGACGATAAATACCTAAATATTTAAAGATAATATCAGATCTAGAGTTATTAAACTACAGTAAATATAGTTAAAGTTATAAACGATCTATGAAATATTCTTATATTTCACTTCCTCTTTTACACAAGTACAATGAAATAGTAATGGATACTGTTGGAATATTACAAAGGGAAGATTTATCAAATTATTCACTAATTTAATTTTCTAAAAAGTTAGGGGACAATATTTCGGAATAAACGGACGTTGATACGTAATTACTTAAACATAATAGCGGATCTAGTATTATTAAACTACAGTAAATGTATTTAAGGTTGTAAAAATATGCTTTATACTTCCAAGAAATGATTTTATATTTTACTTTTTCTTTCACACAATTACAATGAAATAGTTTTTTTAACAATGTCATTGCCTTGATTAGGTGGATTTTAAATACTTTTTTCAAACTTAAAAATATTTTAAACGTTTACATTTAGTAAATTTCATTTAATTTTCTAGAAAATATTTGATTTATTTTAAATATTATTAGTTTTCAAAAATTATTATTTATAATTTTTACGCCACACTCTCCGTTACCTTCTACAATTTTCTACATTAGATATTGTTTTTTTCTAAAATTCTCCGCTTTCCAAAGATATTGTTATACGTATATCTTCTGACTAGTATTTCCGGAGATTCATTTTCGATCAGAATAAGCATTTTTATTTTTATCTCCTTTATTCAAATATAAAATTCTTTCAAAAGTTGTATTTAGCATTTTTCCTAACTTTTAATAATGACAGATAATTAATTATTTAAAAGAAACCATATTAAAGGTACTTTAGAGGAAGATGCATATGAACATTGGGCATTTAAGCCCTGTAAAGTGACATCAACGGGGATAAGACCTAAATGATATTAAAGACCACTTAATTATACAATGATATACCGAGTTTAATCAAAGCCGTTAGAGCCGTTTTTGAGGAAATTGCAAAATATGTGTTTCACCGTTGATATAAAGTGGCACTCCCGGTAAGCCGATTTTAAGGGAAAAGTTGCTGTCACATCTAAGGCATATACCTATCTTAAATACGTAATATCAGTTTCGTTTTTGAGCTAGACTGCTAACATAAACACACACAGACACACGAATCATTTTTCGGGACTTGGTATTTGGACTTAGGGTACCCCAAAACGTGTATTTCCGTTGAAAACACAGAGTCGATATATATATGATAAAGAAAAAAACATCGAGGAGGCACTGCATGAAAGATGCAAAATCTTTAGCAATCATGCCGGCCGAGAAGTCTTGTCCGGCCTAGAGAGAGCTCTTAACAAGGAAGTGACGAATATCCGTCAGTTTCTTTCAACCTAAACCATAATTTAAGAGGGTCTCTTTTAAATCAATTTATATCGCGTAACTTTCTTCTCACATCAGTACGTCAACATAAAGCATAGTAACAAGTTGTACACAATCCGATTCCAACTATTTACAACAAATAAATATAATTTACTATTAGTACAAAAGAAAAAAAAAATGATAAAATTGTTAAACTTAGCTCGTTCCATAATATTTTATAACGCATTGTTATTTATAACTACTTTATTTTATAATATGAAAGGCGTCAACCAAGACTGCATGTCCAAAAATATAATAGGGTATAATCGTAATCAATGTTTACATGATTACAACTGAAAATAAAACTTAATGACCACGCCAATTTTATACTTGATACAATATCACTATAAATATAGCAAAAGTATGAAACGATTACCTGGTTACGATAAGAATCGTGTAATCAAGTAATCAAAATCACTGTAATCGTAATCATGTAATCAAAACCATTGTAATCGTAATCGCGTATTCGTAATCAAAATATCAAATACCCACGATTTACCTCTGTTTAGAGATAGGTTAAAAGGAAAACAAGTATAAAACATTTTCTATTTTCTTTTAGCTGTTGGGAACATTTTCTATGATAGAGGCAGGCCAATGAAAAAAGGAGTGGGAATTATTTTAAAAAATGATCATTAATCATTTCGCTGATTAATCGGTAATCGTTTTGATTCGGTATTAGCATAGAAAGTGCTCCTGACAGCTAAAAGAAAATAGAAAATGTTTTATACTAATTTTCCTTTTATTCTATCTCTAAATAGAGAAAAAAACGCGTGTATTTGAGTTTTTGATTACGATTACGATTACAGTGATATTTATTACAATGATTGTAATTAGATAATTACGATGGCATGATTACGCGATTATAGTCAAAATAAAAAATCTTTTTGATTATAATCATAATCAAATAATCGTTGATTATGATATTTCCCATCTAAGATTAGTTTTGTGATCATACAATCTTTTGAGGTGCGTTTAGACATTTCAAAAACTATGAGAAACACAATCGTCCAAGTTAACTAATGGCGATATTAACGCTTAGTCCAACTCTTTTTTTCTTTAATTTATATTGTTACCGGCAGCATATGAAAAACGTCAAAAACAAGAAAAAAAACACTAACATAGAGAAACAAACATTGAGATATTTTATTTTTCTCATAGTTTGTGTAATGTCTAAACGCACCTTTACGATACACACAAATGCAAAAATAAATACATATAATCAAAATGAACAAATCATTGTGACAGGTAACCTAATAAATAAACTGCTGAGAGTATTAATAACAAATGGCACAGATATTTAAATATATAGTCCTTTAGAAAATCTGAAACAAAGAATATTAAGGACTTTCTCAAATTAAGGACAGCGGATCTAACATCACTAATTAAAAACATATAATTTTAAGTCCTATACTCCCTAGATACACAGAGATAGAGGTGCCCAAGGGGGTTGTTATGACGCATATTGCAACTTTTTTGAGGAGGCACGTTTTGAATTTTCGAAATGAAAAATTTCAAATCAGAGGACACAGGGAAAAATGGAAAAGATGACAAATATTGATAGGGCTTTTTAAATTCTACCTTCGTTTGCACTGTTCTTTGAAGAGAAGAGTGATAAAATATCTTGGAATATGAGAGGGGGAGATGGTTCATGCGCCATCCACTTTGGGAGGAATGGACACCCTGTATAGGAAATCTGTAATTCTCTACTCACTCTGTATTTCTGTACTGTTACTCCTGTAGTTCTGTATACAGAACCTTAAAATTTAAAAATAAAGAGTTTCAAAGGTATAAGAATATAATATAAAAAATTAAAAATTAATAAAATCGGTACTAACCTCCCGGTAAACCTCACTGTCTGGTGCGAAGGTGGAGTTGACAAGATGAAGGGATATATTGACATGTGGGAACCTATGGAAGAACTTGGCCAATGGTGGAGGGTGGTACTGAGTACCCGTTTCTACCAGGTACAACATTCTACCGGTCTACATTGTAGTCTGAAACAGAAAAAACAAAAGCATTTTAATTTTAAAATATAAAGCTACACTAAACAAGTTAACTAAATTATTACTAAGTACCTACTCATTACTGAACATTGGTAGCCCTAAATGGACTGACGCAGACTAGACCAAATATCTAAGTCAGTAAAGAAAAAACTAAGTTGATGGAATAACGAAGATGTTGAATTTAACAAAAGATATTTCATTAAAATCATCAAGCAAAAGTGGAGAAATGATTAAAATACTCACTTATACATTCAGGTGGAAACAAATAGTAAGGACTCACGAAAGCTTATCAACAATAGCACCGTTATCTCCTTTTAGTTCAGTGAGAGCATTCAATCAAGGCAGTGGAACCAGTTGAATATCAAAGAGAACAATAAGTTCATCTTTATTTAACACAATATTTGGGCCTATGAATGATAAATATATTTATGTAAATAAATGTCCAAGAATTAAAAAACATTTTAACGAAATTTAAATTATTAAAAAAACTGCGATATGAAATAGAAACGTTTAAGATGATAAAGTTGAATATGCTTTAAGAGTATTATAATTCAGGTTACGTTTGACAGTGAAATAGCCTAAGCATAGCTTTATTATTTTATTTTTCTTATAATGAAATATAATATGATTTTTATTGGATTTTACACAATTAATTAAAATATAATTGATGAGTCTCAAAAAGAAAAAAGAAGAAGTTAATATAAGACATTATCTTTTTTCTTTTTAAATTGAATCAATAAGGATAGTAGGTGCTTATTCAAAATTAATTGTCATTAACCTAAATAGAAGTCATTATTCAGTTTTCTTGACCACCTTTCATGTAATAATTCAGACAAAAAATTTCATGGCAAGCCATAATTTAAATAATGTTTGATATGAAAAAAAGGTTCATATAAGTCTTTAATAAAAGAGAATAACAATCGAATATTAATTTAAATTAAGAAACCCAAAAAGTCCATTAAGCATCATATTATTAAAAATAAGTCAATTAAAGGTATACTGTTCCAGCTGTAAATAATATTTTAATTCAGAAATGTATTCTTATATGAGTAAGACGAAACAGTCTATAATAATATTCGTTACTTTTTAAATCCATTAAGTTAACTAGGTGTTCTCACCAACACGAGAATGTTCTTCCAACCTCCACGACAAGACGCACAATGCCTTAAGAAGGATTAATAAGCAACACAATAACATTCAAATCGATGTTGAATAAATAAATAATTTTAACACCAGCTTGACATTTTATCGGTTCTATGTTATTCATATTCAAGCAACAGCAATTAAGCGTGTTGTTCCTAAGTAGTATTTCTAGGAAATCGTTATATTCACAGTGATTAAGACAGGAGCATAAATATTTACCCACGAACTAAATTAATTGTATTTCAGAATGTAAAAATCATTTTAACTAATAAACATTTCGAAAATTTTCTTGTAATATACCTAAAGTTACATACATTTTATTTTACTTAAAAGTAAAACTGGTTGAAGAGGTATCTACATAGATACATACATAACGGCTGAACTTTAAAATATCAAAGATTATAATTCAACGTATTTATTGTCATTAATGAAATAATACTTTTTCTTGACAAACTTTTTGAACAAAAAAAAAAAATTTATTACATACCAGCAACCAGTGGCGAATTTAAGTGGGGGAGGATGCTTTCGGGCTGGAACTTCCTCTCCCTCCTCCTCCCCCCCCAAAAAAAAAATTAATAATTTTTTTTTTGTATTGATTCATATTTGTTTCTATGAGTGATTTAAGTATTAAAACAATCTAAAATTATAACAAATGTATATCAGCTACTAAGTGCAGAGACATTAAAAAAAAAAAACTTTTGATCCCTAAACAAAAAAACTTGTTACAAACTTAATCAAACCCAATTTCTCAAGTTTTGTATTTAAAAATAATCTCATTTTTTCTGTATGTGTTCTACATTGTTAGAATACAAACATTGCTTTTCACTGGCTAATGTACATAGGAATATTTCAACGATCTAAAGTTTGAAAAATATTCCACATGGTTTCAAGACTTAATGGCAACCTAGGAAATCTTTTATAAAAGAACCGTCGAAACATAGACCTAGAAAACTAATTTTTGCTAATTATGTTCATCAATGAATCGTCATAATGGATACATCCATATTACCTTTGAGGATAACCCCACTAGCTGATTAAATATTCACGTTAGAATCAGATTCTAAATCATTTGATTTTAAATCAAATTCCCCACAAAATGCCGACTCCTCAAAACGTAACTAAACTATTTTTACAATGAAATTTAATGTATGTATAAAAAGACATTCCTAGTTACAAGAGGATAAATACACTTTCTGTACTGAAAATGTCCTAAATAATACAGAAACCCGCAAGAAGATTGACAGTTCCGGTCGATTGATACAAAAGGGAAATGGAGATTTCAGATAGAATTGTCAAGTGAGATGAGTCGATACCTTTTCAGAACGTACTTCTGAAAGACTTCAGTTGAACATCATATTTGAGAAAATCTTTCGTTATACAAATACGTCCTGTATTTCTGATAAAAATGTTGTATTGAATAATTATGAAGTAGCAATCAAAAACCTTTCAAAATTTATATTAATTAATCGTATTAAAACGTCATCAGGTCTATAAACAGGAGATTTTCCACCACTCAAAATAAACTATAAAAAATAAAATCAAATAGAGAGGAATCTAGAGGTGGAATAAATTCATCTAACCATTATGTTAGCATATTTTATTCATTTAAGAAAGCTGTATAAAACAACCTCTCTATAGAAAATTTCACCGAAAAATTATTGAAATACCATAAAACCGCATGATTATGTTTTGACAACGCAACAAATACGGGTTTTCGTAAGTCTGGATATCCAGAAATGTAAGATTTTGGAGTTCAAAATTTTACACAGCTATGCTTCAATAAGAGGACAGAAAGTTTCCAAGTTTTCATTGCAATGAAACATCATGGAGCCGATGTATAACATCCTAATATACCTTTTATTTATTTATTTTTTATTTATTTTTAATTTTTTTTATTTTTATTTTTTTTTTTTTAGATCAGATTATATTTGGATGGGCCAGAACGTTTTAAAAAACTGAGGTAAATTATATAAAAATTTGCTATATTGTGTTTTTTACACAGTTTTGGTGTATTTTGTATCACTAGTACAGATTTGAAGCCTTAAAAAATAGAAATTTTTTTTTGCTCTTGGGATTTATAAAAAAAACACATTTACTTATTATTTATAAACCAATAGAAATTAAACCAAGCATTGGTATTGGATCAGAGTGTTTTAAATAATTTACGAGGATTTAACTTCTCTCAAAAGTTTTAAAAACAAAAATAAATGAATTTTTCATCTTCACATTTCAAACCTGTCGGTGATTTGTTGTCATGAAAAATGCGATTTTTTAAATTTAAATATAACTTAACAGAATAAATATATTAATGGTATTAATAAATAATTAATTTTTTTGATATTGCTAAAGTGAAAAAAATAAGAGAGTTTATTTACCCGAATCGATTTGTCCAGTTTACACGATTCGTTGCCAAGATACGGCGATGTCAGTGACACATTTAAAGCGTTCAATAAAGACGAAAGAATTAAATCTTCATATCAAACCGTACTATTTCAATTTTTAGTGTCCATAACGAATTTAAGGAAGGCATTAATATTAAAGAAGGATCCAACAACCCAATATTCGCGTGATAACCATTTCTATAAAAAATACTATATCAAGACTAATAGTCCTTTGCTTACTGTACCATTGAAGAAATGAACGAAAAATACTCGAATACTAGAATATAAAACTACTTACACAATTATAAATACAACCAAATTTTATTAAAAATAAATTCTTTAATGAAGATATCGGAAGACTTATATAAATATAGGTAGTAATTTAGATTTTATTAGTCTCGATCAATGAAATAATTTAATTACAAAATTATCCAAATCTTTACCACTTCAGGGATACTAATTGATTTTTAAAACATTTTGTTAATTATCATCGGAATAATTAATAAAAAATCTCTCAGACAACTTACTGATAGACACTAACTCATTGTTAAAATGAAAGCATTAAAAAATAATTATACAAAGTCAAAACAATAAACATAAAATAGACAAAACCTAAACGCGTAAAGCGGTGCCCAACCTTGTAAACCTAGACAAGTACTCACAGAATAGGACCAACCTTCCAGAGTAGGAGAGCAGTTACCAACATTAAAATATCAAATATAAAATAAGGTTAAAAAATATTGGATTTCATTGTTATTTTTTATAAATTATTCTTTACATAAATTACCGGCTGGAAGATGTAACCGAGATAAGAACATGACGGAGAAATGGAGGGTTCCACGTCAAAATGAATCATAAAATCCTTGGATACGCAGATGATATAGCTGAAGGTCCTTGAAGGTAATCAAGAGAACATTGAGAAACTCACCAAGACTCAATGAGGACACAATAAAATATATGATACTAGGCTGAAAACTAATTCCCGACAGTAGAAAAATTCAAATACCTCGGCTCCACAATAACCTCAATGAATGACCAACGGTTAAAAGTAGATCAGCGTATAACTAGCGCAAGCGCAGCTTTCTTCTCCCTCCAAAAGGTATTGAAATCCTGAAACATCTCAAATTAAGGGTGTATAATGCTATGATAAAACCAGTTCTAATAAATGGCTGTTAGACCTGGACTGAACAGAGCTCTAGTACAAATTAACGAAAGATTTGAGAGAAAAATCCTCAGCATGATAACCGGAGCAATCTGGAATCAGAGTAGCTACAAGTAGAGAAGAAAGACCAATAAAAAATTGCTTACAAAAACTGGTAACCAATATCTCATGATATGAAGGCACGGAGGTTACGATGGACGGACACAGGGATGCCCAGAAGGGGTTTTATGGCGCAAGTTGCGCCATCAAAATGTTTGGTGGGAGCACATTTTAAAGGGTTTTTGAATTTTTGAGAGGGGCACATT